CACATGACAGATAAACTCGTGGGTGAAAAAGAGTTATTAAGATAATAAAAAAGTATAACCAATCCTTTCCTTTACACACACAGATCCTGCTCGTAAGTTAACTGTTCGTTCAGAATTCCAATTAGCTACTATTTTTAAAAAGCTACCATGTGTAGCTAACCCAAGCTTTATTGGTGATTTTCAAAGCTACCCCCAAAATGACCCCATTTCTGCCTGTAACTAGGAAGAACACCACACTTTCTCTAAACAACACACAGCTAAGCACACCCCGAGCTTCCCTTCCCTTTCTGGAGCTCTGCATGCTCACTCAGAACAGCATGGAAATACAGTTTCTAAGTTATCATTCAAACAGCAACACAACTATCTTGGACTCTCTCAAAATAAGTAGTTAGGAGTTCAGTATAGTTTCCTCCTTCTCCTGGTTAATTGAAGTATTTTATTTGCTCTTGTTGTTGGGATCTAAGTGGTATTTACTGGGATTGATTTTGCTAAAGATAAAATTTGAAAGGGAAGCTGGGATATCCCCACTGAGCACAGTTGAGTTATCAGGTCCAGTCTGTACTCGTGGGTTAGGGGCCACAAAGTCATGCACAGAGGTGCTTACAGATGTCTCCTTGAATTTCCTTTAACAGGGCCACATGAAGAAACACGGCTGTGTTTGGTGTTGGAGATCTCAAGCCAGCGACTCAAACTCCTCCATTTTCTAGGGATATAGGATTCTTTCCAGGAATCAATTTAAAATGACTCACAACATAACTGCAAACAATTGAGGGCTCGCATGTAGGATGCTCTCGTTTCCAGCATGTTATTGCTGCTCTCAGTGTTTTTGCAATGACAGTTTTCCCTTCAATAGAACCAGTTTAAAATTAGAAAAATCAAACACACATTAGAGAAAGCAGATTTACTCTTCTATTAATTGATAGGGGATGTTAATCTCCCACCATCTGGGTGGGGGCCAGCACTTCCCCTGTGGAGCCCTGGTCATCAGGAGCCCACTCTCCTAATCTGGGAGCTGGCTGCCTTTTGGAACCCAGCATTGGGTTTCCAGTACTATGAATACATTTGCACCAGGGAAGCTGCTTTTGCAACACATCTGCACAAATCGTGTGTGTGTGTGTGTGTGTGTGTGTGTGTGTGTGTGTGTGTTATTCTCTTCCTCCTTTATGTAAGAACATGAGCAACCTTGAAAGTTGAACTCCCCACTCTATTCTGGCTTCCCTAAGCCCTGCTGGACAAGAGGTAAGCTAGCATGCCCTATGCAATAACCAGAATATGATTCTTATAGGGAATGCAGCTTGAAGCTGATGGAGTTAAATATTACGAGAAGGAGCCTCCAGGCCCACAGAAGTGTCTCCTTGTAAAGGCTGGAAGCAACCCAGGTAGGTGGGGGTGAGGAGGGTCCTAATAGAAAAATGTTGAAATATCACCCTGTGTTTCAACTTTAAATAAGCATTTCTGTCCTAATAGAAGTCCCATCTAATGTCTCCCGCAGCTTTGATTTTGGAACACGTCACATTCCTCATTAAAGCAATCACTGTTAAAACATAAAGCAACACAGGATTTATTTCTTCATTAAACTGATGATCCGTATATGAAGCCAATTAACATTATGAGTCTGGTGAACATCAAGTGTAAAGAGGTTAGAGAAAATTAAAAGCAGTCACCTTGGTCTTTAGATAAAGAAAGTACACTTTTAGGTTGTAAATTATCAGAGTGTCCAAGCGGGACAGATCGGCAAATTTGGTTAATTGGGAAATATATTTCGCTGCACAAAAATTAAGGAAAAATAAGAGTTTCCTAGCTAACTCCTCCACCCCCTCTTTTTTGGGGAGGGGAGACCATAACGAATATCTATTAGTCACCTTCTCCAGGACCCCAAGTATGGGAGGCAATTGGGGGAAAAGGGGTTCACGTCATCAAAGTTTACTGTAGCTTTTTCGTTTCCGCAATTGTTTGGTTAGCTGTTTATTCTGTTTTGCCATAGGAACGAGCCCAGCCTAGTAGCTATGGAAAAGGGACATTGGGTGAATTGAGGCTGAGGGTCCCGAGCTGGCTTGGAGCCCCTCGCAAGGTGGGTGTTTTCCTGGAGCTGGGTTGGTTGTCCAGCCAAGGACTTGGCCAGGCTCGCGTCAAGGGGCGCTGGGAGGGTCGGGCCAGGAGGCAAGGGGGTCTTGAGGTGTTTGTCAACCACCGATAGGAGCGGTGCGTTTGAGATTTCAGAGTCGGGAGTTCTCTTCCTGCTCCCGGCGCTAAGTGCGCATCCCAAATAACTTTCTAAGGTTTGGACCGGGAGAGGATTAAGATCTCCTGGAATTGGTTACATGGGCCTTGATGCGATGCAGTACAGAACCTCACAGGGGCCTTGGGGACTGGGGGCTTCTTTGGCCAGCAAAAACGCCAGGCAGGATGAAGACGCTTGCCGCTGTCCATGGTTCTGATCAGTCGGCTGATCCAGAGAGAGGCTCAGACACTCGGTACGAGTCTACTCAAACCCGGCCCAGGCCCAGGTCAAGGCTTCACAGGAACGTCCGCGGCTCAGTGTCCGCGACAGGGAGCTGATCCGAAGCTTGGAAGTCACTGTTCTTTGGGGCCAACGCGTCAGTCGGCGCTAGGTTGCTGGGGCCGAGGCTCCCGCGGATAACGTAAGTGCACGCTGAGCCGAGCTGGCGGGGAACCCTTCCTCACCTCCCTTCTCGGGCTCTTGATTCCCGGAGCACACAGAGCACCCGCGGGAAGCTGCAGCTCAGGGTAGGAGGACATCCGAGGGGGTTCTCGGCAGACTCCGGAGCTCAGGGGGCCTTCGGCTCCTGGAACTGGTTGCAGAGAGCAGGGATGCTCTCTTAGCCGGACCTGGAGAGAAGCCGGCGCCCGCGAGCCAGCAGTGACCTGGGACGGAGAAAGGGTCTGATCCCGGCCTCGAAGCTATGCACTGCCCCGCTGACCGCGCCATCCGCCGCGGGGGCCCACCCGTTTCGCCCGCGTTCTCCACCCGGGTCAGCTGTCTGGACTCCTGGAGTCTGTGGCCCTGGAAGAGAGCTGGCGCGGCGAAACTGTCCGCTCCAAGCCGAGAAGGAATTTCCAACCTTTTTTTGCTCCCAGTAGGGCCGGATCCGGCCAGGGGCGGCTGAGCCCAGAAAGGGCCGCTTCAGTGAAAGAGGTTCGGCCAGAGCAATGCTGCTCTTCTTCTAGGCTGTTTTCCCTGGGGTGTCTACCGCTCGTCCAGGGCCTTAGCACTCAGTTCTCCAGCTCCGCGCTGCTCGCCCCAGGCGCTTGTCCACGAGTGGGCCCGCTAGTTCTTTTGTTTCCAAAGCTCTGTGTCTTTAAGATCAAGGCTGGATCCCAGGCCAGGCAGGGACCCGACCCACCGCTTCGCCAAGGCTCTCAAACGCAGCATTAGAATGTTTATAAAATATTCAATTTATGCAGTCTGTCCAAGAAGCCATCGTCCCAAAATAAAATCAACAGTCTAGACGGAACACAGACACCAGAACTTATCAACAGTTGTCTGACTCTCATTTTCTGATGCATCTTGAGTGGGTCATAATACCAACTTTATTTTCAGTGGTGCATAAATTAATTACACGCATTTAATAACCAAAATATCATTATATTCCCCCTTTAATATCATAAAGGCTTTCCGCCAGGGAAGCACTTAATAGTGCAGGGGGCCGTAACGGGCTATTATCCTGGTGTAATGCTATTACAGAACCAATTATGCGCCATTAGACTTGCTTTTTTTGCAGTTTATGTGATTTGATCCAATCCCGCGCCCCTGACTTGAAAATTTCAACCCGGTACTTTAGAGTTTAATTTTCACCCAGGCAGAGAGAAGGGCGGTCTCTCTCCGCTGAGTGCCTGCCTCGGATGCATTTTAAAAGTAATTGCGAAGGGTCCCACTGCATATCATTTGCAGGGAGAAGCGAACATAAATTCAGGGACCCCTTGCTGAGAACAAAATCAAACTTTCCTTTTGTACGATCGCTTGGAAAGAAAAGCCGTGTGCAAAGAGTACCCCCAAAACCCATCCGGCGGCGACAATTAGCAGCGCTTTGGTAATTTTGCAGTCCAGGAGTCGCCAGGCCTCTGACAAGGGCGAGCTCAAATCCAATCTCACTCAGAAAAAGAAGGTTTGAGTGTGAGGGGACCCAGAAGGGTTGAGGTTGGGGTTTAGAGCATAATCTCTTTGGGGAGGGAGACTGTTAGTAGCTGTTCTTTCTATCTTCTTTTAAAAGAAAAGAGGAAAAAAAGATTCCTGATGTTTGCTGAGAAGTGACGGATTTTTTTTTTTTTCTTACACCACGTGGGCCATTTGTAAGGCCCAATAGACCTATCCAAGTTACTCGCTGTAGACAGCGCTGGAAATAATCAGATTAAGGCCAATTATGCGTGAGATTATAAAGGCGAGTGCTGAGCGGCGGCGCGCGCTGTAGACAGACAGCAAGACATCTGGCCACTTCCCCAGTCACTTCTCTGGTCCTGCGGGCGCCAGCAGCGCCAAGCCCCGCCCGCCGCCAGCCGAGCCTCGCGTGCGGACCAGAGGCGATCACACTCGGGCCTTCTCGCCCGCCTCCCGCGGAGGTAGGCAGGGTTCCCGACCCGCTTCCCCTGCTCCCTGCTCTGGGCCTTGGGGCTCCGCCGGCTTCTTGGCCCGAGCTGCTGCGCGTGCAGATGGCCTCGCGCGATCGCCTGAACTCGCTGCGGTGGCCAAGTGCAGGGCTTGCAGCCGGGACCCCTGAGAACCAGGAGCCAGACTGTGCCCAGCTTGGTGAGGGCGCGGTTGTTTAGCAGCCGGACTTAGGCGAAAGACTGACCATAGGGTCACGGTTTGGGACTGGAGGTGCAACCACTCCCCCCATCCCCCACCCCTCCCCCCACAGCCCGCGGTGGCCCCAGGGGGCCAAAGACTTTGGGAAGGGCTTTGTAGGAGGGGCACTCCCCGTGATCCTCGGGGTTCGCGGGCAGGAGACTCAGGCTCTACTGATGTTTGCTTTGCAGCCAGGCCGGAGCCACACACAGGCACAGGTCTGCCAGGCCGCCACCAGCCCTGGTCCAGCCGTCAAGGCCCATTCAACCGTCGGCGATGTTTTATTTCCACTGCCCGCCACAGCTAGAAGGTGAGTAGGCGCTGCTTTCAGGGCTGTTTTGCCAGGCCAAGCCAGCCAAAAGCGACCGGGGCGCAGCAGGGCTGACGGGTATTGGGGTCTTCGTCCCTCGAGGTGGCAGCCGCGTGGCAGTGCTTGGGGGCGCCCTTAGCCCCCTCCCTACACCCAGCTCCATCCCTCCGCCCGGGTGCCACCTGCCTCCCACCTCCCTCTCCGCCTGGGTCGCGCGCTGCCCCAGGCTATGGGTGCCTCGGGGACGCCTGGTCCTCCCAGCACAGATGCTGGTGTCACGCCTCTAATCGGGGCTCCTCTACCCAGGGGGCCCGCATCAATCTTTCACGGGGTTTTGCTAACATCCCAGAAAGCCAAAGCAAGTTGAACTGCCCACTGCGTCCTGGGCTCCACTGCTAGCCACGAAGGGCCTGATTGCTTAGGCTGCCCTCACCCTGGGCGTTGGCGAGCATGCTCCAGGATCTCACACTTAATTCTGGACGACTTAATAATGTCAGTTCCTAGCGGCAAAGCTGTCCCTGGAGACAAGCTTCCTGCTAGTTACCTGCTCCGGTGTCTAGGCATAGCTTCACCTCAGCGACTCACTGAATTTCTGACCACAAGTGCCCACTCTCACTAACACCCAGGACCGGGTTCTGGTTGTTTAAGGTCTTTCGACCTTAGGGGGGAAAAAACAAAAAAACAAAAAAACAAAACAAAACAAACAAACAAACAAAAAAAACGCCTTTCCCTATTCCTTCTGTGGTCTCTTCTTCCAGTTGTTAGATGGGGCAGGGGTAGTCAGAAGTGAAGAGCTTGCATCTGGGTATCCCTAAACCTGGTGTGGGGGATCCAAGGGTGAATTCTCCCTGGTGGTAATTTGTAGCCATCAGGTGGATATGCTGCCCCAAACTCTGGCTTGTGCTGTGGCCCTGAGACACTGGAACTTTTATAATCCTGGGACACGTGCCCACCTTTCTGTAAGTTACCTTAAGCAGCTTCCAGTCTCAGCCATGATTTGGGAGTTTGTTTTCATTTTCTCTATAAAAGTCCTTAAGCATCTAGCAGAGTTTGCTGAAGAAAGCTAGTGGGAAGGCAGTGTCTGAGCTCTGCATGCCTGCATTTTAACACCAGGAAAGACCCAGGCAGAGGAAGCTTTATGGCAGAATCAGAAAGGCACAGACTTTGACAACTATACCCAGGGCTGGAGGAGACCTGTGATGTGTAGTTTCTATGTGCTGTTGACTCCAACCTCAGCACTGGTTGCCAGTGCCCAACCCGGGCTCTTGTCAATTGGGAAAGAAAGAGAGCTGGGCATTTAGCAAGCTGTGTTCTTTCTGGTGACTGAAGCAGGAACTTGTTTGGAGGGGTGGGTTACAGAGTGACTTAGAGATCAGAGTAGCTCAGGCTTTCTTTGACTTGCTTACTACTCTTAGCTTATTTCTGTGGGGCTTCCATTTGCTACTCAAGCTCTGTGCAAACCCTATATTGACGCTGACTGATGTGACCAGAAGGAGAGAGGGACTTCAAGCACTGTTCCGACTTTTGTATGTATATATATATACATATATATATATATCCCAGCCAATTTTTCTGGAGGGGAGTTTGCATCTAGGTCAGTATTGCGGGGGAAAGATGATGGGGGAGTTGAGAATGACTGAGGATAGACCTTGGATCCTAGGGAGAGGTACAAAGGAGGAAGCAAAATGTGGATGTAATCTTACTTCTTAGATACGTTGTATAGATTAAATTAGAGAGTGGTGCGTGGGTCTCAAGGGTTTTTAGGACAAGAGCCCACACACTGGCTAGCGAAGCCTTCTTTTGCTCCCTGAGTGTTTCTCATGAGTCCATTGTCGCCTGAGCATTTCATTCCATGTCTGCTATGTCTTATTTGCACCGAGATTATAATGTCTAGTCATCCTGGAGTTCGGTTTTGTTTTTATTTCATAACACATCTTTGAGATTTTCCCATGCTGTGTGTATGGATCTACTTATTTTCTTTTAGACTGCTGTGTAGTATTCTAGCATTTGTTTTGCGGAATATATCCACTGATGTGTGCTCTGTGTGTTTCTTGTTTTATTTCCTAATTGTAACATAACAAAGAACATTCTTCTCTCTCTCTCTCAGCATACTTTATAGCTATAGTCATAGGTTAAAAACCTGTGCACTTAAACTTCTGATGCTTACTATTCAGTTGCCTTCTAATACACTTTCACCAGTTGATTCTCATATGAAAAATAAATGCACATATGCAATTTGTTACAATTTATAGGTTCTGGGTATCATTATGCACTTTTTTGGAAAAAAAGCAATGGGCATATTATTTCACTGTCCTGTTATATTCTGTTTGAGGAGCTGTGCATAACTTTATCGAGCATTCTATTTCTTTTCAATAAGTCCACTTTCATCTCTTTTTCTTTACTCTTGGGTTGTCTGTCTTTTTCTTCCTGGATTGGTGGCATCAGCTCTTGCAGGCTTCAGCTGGGAAGCAAGGTGTAAGAGAGGGGACAGTGAGACAGTGACCAGGAAGCCCGAGAGTGTGCTCCATGCTGACCACTCAAATACTTTACTTCAGAAAGAGACAGCATGGCCTTCTGCAAAGCAATGGAAACAAGACTGCTTTCAATCAGTCCCTTTCGGTTTCTATCAAGATTACGAGAAATTCTTGTCACTAGGGTTTTGAGGGAAAAAAATGCAATTTGGATAGGTGGGAGAAAGCCTTACTAGAGAAGGGGCGGTATTTTGAGAAGTTGTGGTCAGGTAGGGTTAAACATCACTCACTGGGACTCCCTGTATAGATGGAATATGAGAAGGCCTGGAGAACTTGGTCTGCTAGGGCTGAGGTGCTGGTGGAGGTTGCTGCTCAGATGCTGTGGCCTGAGAGCACTGGGTGATTCTGACAGTAGTGCCCATGGCAGGTGAAACACTCACTGGTTAATGGAAACCTACTCATTTGTTTTCCTAAGAAGCCATTGTGGACTATCAAGTAAATAGTGCCCATTTGGAAAACGATCCAAATGCACGTTTGGGGCCAGATTCTGTTCTGGCTTTATCGTGAGCATTGGAGGCTGCTTGCAAGTATAGTGTGTTTCTTTTTTCCAGGGACAGCAGGATGTTGTATAAGGTCTGGTTACCTAGCAGAATGCCCTTGGAGAGTGGCATTCATTGGTGCAGGCCTTTTGTTAATTGGTGTCTATGTAATAGGCCCACTATGGTGCTGATGAGCTGTGACCAACAGTAATTAATAATCATTTATAAACTTCTTACCTCCTCGAATTCTGTACTTCTAGAAGGAAAGTGGTGTGAAAAGCCTTGGTATTTTCTTTCTTCCCCACCCTTTAGCCCTTGGTGGTTATAGTAACAAGGGGAGTAGGCCGACAGGTGAGCAAAGGGAATATTCTGTCTTCTGTAGGAGGGTCCAAGTAGGGGATGGGCAGACAGGGGACAGAGGGTAATAAGGAGTAGGAAGGCAGATGAGGACCAGAGTTCACTCAAGCCATCGACTTCTCCTCACTCAGAGACCACAATTTCACAGGAAGTGGACTTAAACATCTTGGGTATTAAGGTCGACATTGTCCTATGCAGTAGGGGGACCTGCTCCTGCAGCCAAAGGTTTTGTGGAAACACAGAACCTGGGGTAGTGAAAAGAGGAGCCTTATTAAGAGAGCACAGAGAAACATGTTGGAAGGACAGGCTCTCTGCAGAGAAGCATGGAAGAGGGCTACTATGTGTGTGAGGGTCTGCAGGCCTGCGTCTCTCTCTCCCGGCACTGATCAACCCTAACCCTAACCCTGTAGGCACGGCACCTTTTGGCAACCACTCTACAGGGGATTTTGATGATGGGTTTCTTCGAAGAAAGCAGCGCAGGAACCGGACCACCTTCACTCTTCAGCAGGTAATGACAGACTCCAATGTGAGAACCAGGTTCTTCCGACCTCCCCCAAAGTTGCAGAGGAGCCACCTTCCTTTGCCTTTTAAAAGGAGGCCAACTGTTGAGTTAACTAGGTCTTCCTTCCCTTGAATAACTTCTGTGTTTGCCTGGGGAAAGGATAGTTACTTGGGCCTTGTAACTCCAGATAATCACTAAGGGAGCATGGAATTTTCCACATGTCTTAGACAGATGCTCCAAGGCACGTTTCCCTGTCAGCAGAATGCAAGTTGGGCATTTTGCTTTTTGTAACTTTTTTCAAAACAGGGGTTCTCTGTGTAGCCCTTGGTATTCTGGAATTTGTTCTGTAGTCCAGGCTGGCCTTGAATTTACAGAGATCCACCTGCCTCTGCCTCCCGGGTTCTGGGATTAAAGGTGTGCACCACCACACTCTGCCTCAGTTTGGGCATTCTTGTCCCCAGATAGACAGGTGGGAAGACAGACCTTCAAGTGTGACTCATGAGCAGACAGTGTAGCTGGCTGGAAGAAGGAAGGCTACAGCTGCAACTTTTCTCCTGGGCTTCCCAGAACTGAGTGTCCCAAGAGCAGCCAGCGTGAAGGTGACCCCACATGCCTAGAAGGCTTCTGTGGGGCTGACTTATGGAGGGTTCCATAGGTGGACAGCCATTTCTACTCCCATGGTGGCACCATGGAGATTACTCTATTCATGAGACTCTTTATTCCCATGAAAAATTTAAGTGTAAATACACAGAAAAAATATCTATTACTTGTCTGTTTCTGTGTCTCAGAGAGGGCGCACTGTGGCTGTTAGTAGCCTTAGCTATGAAATCAACTGGGATTTAAGTTGCCATTCTGTGGAATTTTCCTTATCTTTTAAAAAAATTATACTTTATTTAGTGTGTGTGTGTGTGTGTGTGTGTGTGTGTGTGTGTGTGTGTGAGTGAGTGAATGAACCTGTGTGCACGTGCATGCCATTGTGTACATAAAGAGGTCGGAGGACAACTAGCAGGTACTAGCTCTCAGCTTCTACCCCGTGCATTTTTGGGACCTGGCTCCATTCTTCAGGCTCGGGCGAGCGCCTTTACGATCTGAGCCCTCACCCAGGCCTTTGTGGAATCTTTATAGACAGCTCTTTTCTTCGTTTCCTTCCTGGATTTGATCTTCGAAATTGCTTCCTCACCACTCCTGGCAACTCTGAAATATGCATCCTTTCCCTCACCTAGCCGCAGTCTCTCACCAGTAAACATTTTTTTTTTCTTTTACCAGCTGGAAGCTCTGGAGGCAGTCTTTGCCCAAACACACTACCCAGATGTCTTCACCAGAGAAGAGCTAGCCATGAAAATAAACCTCACAGAAGCCAGAGTGCAGGTAAACCTTCTCTTAAATTATTTAACTCTCTAATATTAAAACTGGCAAACTTTTTTTTTTTTTTGACATCATGACTGCAGAGTGCACATTTGGCCAAAGAAAGCAAATGAAGACTATCTGTCATTTTCATGATGCACTTTAATAACATCAACATAATGTGGAATATTAGATTAGGTTGATTAATCGGTCATTCATAATTAACTAGTGATAATGTTCTACACTAATTTGTCCGCGTCTCTAAGGTACTAAATTACATCAATGCACATCCATTTCCTTGCTTTGGAAAAAAAAAAAAAAGCTGAGATGCCATTCGCAAAGCAAATCTGACCGCTCCGGGGTGAGGCCGGTCAATTGCAGAGAACCGCGTTTTCAGATGGGAAGCAGGGCAGAATCTGCTTTCCAGAAATTGCATCATGCCCAACTTTCCCCCTGCACATAGACTCTTTGAGCAAAGTGGACCTGAAAAACACGTGCAATTTAAAAATCTTTAAACAGCAGCAGCAAAACGGCTGAGCAGATATGGGCTGGCCAGCGGGCCCAGGGTGGCGGCCACTAAGCTGCTTTGCTTTTCTGGAAGCTGCTTTTAAGTGGCGACTGAGCCCAGCAGCTGTGCCGGAGTGAGTACGGGAGAGAGGCAGCCTCACAGTGTTGCCTCTCCAGGTCAGTTATTCTTTGCACACCGTTATATATTCATTTTATTTATGGGGCTTCTTCCATGCTGTTTCTGTTTTTTTTTTTTTTTTTTTTTTTTTTTTTTTTATGTAGGAGCTTGGGGTTAAGACTATGCAAAGATCTAATTGTAGGAAATATAATAGTTTGCTTTCTGTTCCCCTGGGTCATGTTAGTATCTCTTAAAAACCAATGGCTGAAGAGAGATAATGGAATTCTGAGCAGTAAATTGGGGGTTGTAAACAAATTATTTCCCCTATAATCAGATTATGTGATCCTGATTATTAAATCTGAACATGAATCATTGGTCATATGCGGGCAAATTAAACTGATTATTATTTGGGAATGAAAATGTTCTTTGGCCCGGACCCTGTCTATAGTTTCTTTTTTTAATGCCAGCTTGCCAATAGCTGCCTAAAGACTGAGCTGCAAATTGAGATAAATGACACAATTATTGAGCATTCAGAAGTAGAAGATCATAACTTCTCCCTGAAAGGTGCAAGGGTAAGATAGGGGTGGTGACAATTAAAGCTCAGAATTGTTGTCCAGGCCGTTGTTGGCTATTATGCTGGCAGACAATGGCAGGCAAGCTTGTGCATAGCCAGCTTCTATGTGGGGACAAGAGCCTCGGTGGCGGGAAGGGAGATGTGTTTACACTTATACCACTCGCTCATTCAAATATGATTAATGTTCTATAAAGCAGGGTCTTAATCGAAGCTGATGTTGTCAAACAATAACTAAATAGGGAAATAAACGACTCCATCATGCTCCTTCCTCAGAAGCAGGCGAACTGTCAGTGCAAAGTCATTAAAATATGATAATGAAAAATAGCTCAATTAAATGTTGTTATAGCTGTGACCTTCATTCAATTAAGACACAAGAAAGTGTCTGCATTTTGCTTTGCATTTAACTGCCCTAAATTTAGAATATAGATAAAATCATTATTCAATGGTTGCTGATATGTGCAATTAAAAGCCAAGGCGATTAAAAACAGAAAGAAACTCGGTTGAAGGAGAAAGAAAATTAAGAGATAGGTGGGCTTGCAGAGGGCTCAGCCTCAAGGGCCTAGGCTCTTTCCCCGTTCCAGTGTGCCACAGCAAGAGAGGGTGGGACATTATCTCTTCGAATTGCAGAGAAGCCTGGCCAAGCCTAGTTTTTAGACAGAAATTAACTCTGAGAAGAGGTGAGGAGAGGGGAGGTTTCTCTGGGGAAAGACCTGAGGGCTTTTGTTGCTTCCTGTGAACATCTTGAGCTTGAACTGCCAGGATTCTCTCAGGCAAATGCAATTCCTTTTTCTCCCAAGACTTAGGGGTTACCTGCATGTGTGTCAGCCTCCCTAACTATGCTGGCCCTCTGGGGTTTTTGTTAGTGAGCCCCCTGTCTGTGAAATGGGCTGACTTACCTCTGAGGGTTGCTGTGGACCCCAACCCACATTTACTTCAGAATTCTTGAGCCATGATGATGATGATGATGAGAGAGAGAGAGAGAGAGAGAGAGAGAGAGAGAGAGAGAGAGAGAGAGAGAGAGAGAGAGAGAGAGAGTTTTCCCTGGGTGCTGTAGGTGGCTGGTCAGGAACAGGTTCCTGTACAATGATCCTTCAGGGGCAGAGCTTGGGTGTGGGCTTGCTGGAAGGTGGAATGTGTCTTTTTTGACGAGAAGCCCTGGAATAGCATTTTACAAATTGCTTTCACTGTGTTCCCTGTAGGGAAAACATTTCACATCAAAATCACGTTCTCACAGGCGCTCAGCATTGTGAACTCCTACAGGATGCCTCTTTCCCTTCCTGTGGGCAATGCCCTTGGTACTTTCCGCTCTTTGCTAGTCATTGAAAAGTGCCTGTCAGAAGCAGCCCAGCTGTCCATCTGTGGTCTGAAGTTCTGAGGCAGAGAACTGAGGGGGTCTGTCTGCATGGGCCTCCTGGGGTCTGTGCTGGGGTCGTGGCTGGGTCCTCCTGGCTGACTGTCTGTTTCCTATGGGATTCAGGTTTGGTTCCAGAACCGAAGAGCCAAATGGAGGAAGACAGAGAGAGGGGCTTCTGACCAGGAACCAGGGGCCAAGGAGCCCATGGCAGAGGTGACACCACCACCTGTGAGGAACATCAATTCTCCACCCCCAGGGGACCAGGCCCGGAGCAAGAAGGAAACCCTAGAGGCCCAGCAGAGGTGAGATTAGCTGGCCCAAGGGCTATGGGTCTGGGGTAGCTCTGTAGACAGGCTGGGCCTCACTGGAATGTTCTGTTTTTGGCAGCCTGGGACGAACAGTGGGCCCTGCTGGGCCTTTCTTCCCCTCCTGCTTGCCAGGGACACTCCTGAACACAGCTACCTATGCCCAGGCCCTGTCACATGTGGCATCTCTGAAAGGTAAGATTTGCAGGGCTGTCGGAGGGTGGGGATGGGAGAGAGTGTGGAGACTATCTGGTCTCCCCCGCTGTCTCTGCTGGGCAACCTTTGGCTCCTGTCAGTCACAGCCAGGGTCATAGTCACCATCCCCTGCCACACTTGCTGTCCTGTTTGCTTTCGAACAGTCTGAGAATGTAGGTGACTGCTTCATCCCACCCAAGTGAGGGCTTTTCTTAGGGGCAGCCCTGTTTCCCTAGTCTTCTCTCTCACCCTGGTTACAATTTTAGGTGCTGATCTGGGGAGGTCTAGGAGGGGTGGCTGTCTCATTGTCCAAGGACTTGTTCATCTGTACATCCTGCTTATTTATGCTCCTTAAGGGATTCCTCGGGACAGAGGTCTGAATCCGTAGGACTTTTGATGTCTTGTCAGTGGCTATGGCTAGTATTTTGGGAAGGGAGACATCTACTGTAGTTGCTCGATCAGGCCCAGATCAAGGCCTTTGTAGGACTGTTCCTTGGGGGATTCTGGGGGCACTATCCTCAGAAGTAAGGGCTTATCTAGTGCCTTTCAGTTCCAGGCCACTAAAACCAAACCAAACCCTACTGGAAAATGTTTAGTCAGTCCAGCAGCTATGCTGGTGGGCTGTAGGCTTTTCCCAGAGAATAGGCATTAGGGGAGGCCTCCTGAGATACCTGCTGCTTACACACACACACACTCACACACACACTCACACACACACACGCTCACACACTCACACACACACTCACACACACACTCACACACACACAGAGGCCGGCACACACCTACTTACTGAGGAACCTCCAGCAGTATGCCGCAGGACACAGCAGGCTGTGCTGGAGCACTACAGGCTGAGCACCCCAACTCAAAACTGCGAAATATAAAAATGACCCAGAACCACAAACTTGAGAATAGAGGCGATGCAACATGTGGAAAATTCCTCCCTGACTTCATGTGACAAGAGACTGTGAAAAGGCAAAGGCACTAAAATTATTGTGCGAAATTACCTTCAGGGTCAGTGTGTAAATGTGCATGAAACGGACTTTGTGTTTAGATTTCTGGCTCAACCCCAAGGCATTATTATGTATATTGAAATATTTCTGTATCTAAAAAAGAAAAAAAATCCCAGATCAGAAACATGTCTGGTCTCAGGCATTTTGGATAAGGGCTGTACAACCTGGACAGATATGGGCTGAGGCTCAAGGTCTCAGAGGAGCTTGGCACTATCCCAGGGGCTGACCCTGACAAAGACGAAAGCCTCATCCATCTGTCTCTAAAACGCTATCAGTTATAGTGAGGGTCTGTTCAGCATTGAATAGCCACTTCTACTAAAGGTGTTTCACTCATTCTGCACCAGCCCTGGAAGAGGGAGCGATTTGCACATTTCTCCTTTCTTGTCATTCTTGGGGTGTCTCTCTCTTTCGTAAGTAGAGCTGGGACCCTGCAGTGGAGCTTTTCCTACAGTGGCTGGGGATAGGGTGGGGTGAGCAAAGGCTAAACTTCAGGACCAGAAGGGTAGAGTCCAACAGCCGTGGGTGGGCAGGGGTCAGCTGAGGTTTGTACTTGCCCTGTCTTAGGGAGAATCCACCTTGGCAATGTCCTCAGGTAGAGGGCAGAGCTGGGGGTGGGGGTTGCTGAACTGGGCCAGCTGTTTATACACATCTGTCTGTTTTCTCTTCCGCCCTTCATTAGTCCCTTTTGGCTGGGCTGTGCACCCCCCCCCAGAGGCTGTCCTGTGCCTGCCTTGTTAGGAACTGAATTTACTTTGGGGGATCTGGGATGGGCAGGGCTTTGCAAGGGTGGCAGGAATCACAATGTGCTCACCAGACAGACACACATCCCTGCACATTGCAGGGGCCTGACTGGTAGCCTACAGTGTCCTTGGGTATACACATTCTTCCTGGCAGGTCAGGTAGGGAGAGAGGGTGGACAGCAAGACCTATTGGAGCCCACAGCATGCTCGGATGCTTCTAGAGCAGTGGTTTCCAATCTTCCAAATGTTGCGACCCTTTAATACAGTTCCCCATGTTGCTCTGCAACTGTAAGTTTGCTTCTGTTATGAACCATAATATAAACATTTTTGGCCATTGAAGCTTGCCAAAGGGGTCAGACTCACAGGTTGAGAACCCTGTTCTAGACGTAGACAAAGGTGAAAAAATGGAACAGTGTAGTCCCCTCTGCCTCCTAGTACAAACAAGCTCTGGCCTGCTTTTCTGGAAGCATGGGGTCCTTTTGATTTGTCATTTTCCTGCTTCAAGACAGGCAAAGATAGAATTCTCCATTACTAGAGACAGTGATGACAGGGATGCTGCAGAGGAACCCCAAGATTAGGCCTGGGCAGAGGTGGGGTGGGGTTAGGAAGATTAGGAAGCTTTGCCTAAAAAAGCCAGTGGCCCATCAAGCCAGCTGATGGCGGCAAATGGGAGAGTGGACAGTTTTGCCAGAATTTCTGAGTTTTCTGTAGAAGTTGGACATGTGTTTTTATTTGGAACATTCCTGTCTTTGGACAACTACAAAGAAGCATGTAGACCAGTGGTTCTCCAACTGCGGGTAGCAACCCCTTTAGGGGGTCAAACAACCCTTTCACAGAGGTTGCCTATGACTGTTGGAAAACACAGATATTTACATTACGATTTATAAGAGTAGCGAATTTAGTTATGAAGTAGAAATTGAAAATAATTTTATGGTTGGGTGGTCACCATGACATGAGGAATTGTGTTAAAGGGTTACAGCATTAGGAAGTTTGAGAGCCTCTGATGTAGGCCATGATCTATAGACAGGGGACGTTTGATTCTTGTTGCTCTAGAAGCTTGGAAGTCAGGGTTCTGGCAGCATGGGTCTCTGCTGAGGCCTGACTCTGGGCTGCAGACACAGCAGCAAGAACCAGTGAGCTAGTTCTCAGGCCTCCATTCTCCCCAGGAGGGGTCGTGACGTGTCCTTGTCCCTCCCGGAACCCTACTTCCTATCACTGTCAGTGAGTTAAAAGGTCAACTCATGGATCTGGGGGATACAGTCCCTCACCCGCAATAGTTTCCATGTTTCAAATGATGTCTCCAATGTCTTTGAGCCAACACAGCACATCCATGAGCAGTACTAGGGACTTGCCCTTCTGTGGTCCCCACTGAGCTGAGAAACACTTTTCTCTTTGTCCTCTCCGTCTGCTTTCTGAATTCTTGTGTTCCTGTTCCTCTCTCTTCCACAGATCCCTCCCCAGCAAAGTGCCTTCCCGGGGCTCTCCCTGGCCACCCTGTGTGGCTCCATGCCCTTTGGCCTCTCTGAGCATCTGGTTTTTTCATCTCCTGCAGGCTAAGCCACATGGGGAAGGGAGGGAAATTGAAAATCTCCTCTGTGTTGGCCAGGCAGTCTCAAGTCTTAGTCTTGTCTTATAGTGACACAGTCAGCATCATACAAGGAGGGGACTCAGACAGATTACTAGGGTGCTGGTGCTGGGATGGCTAAAATAATGGCCAATTTGCCACTTCCTCCTGTAGAATGTGTTCCGAGCTGGAAATCCCCTGGGCTGCACCACTGTGCTGTAAATCCAGGTGGGCTCTGCAGCTCCTGAGGTTGGTTTGGGGTAACTCTGGATCAGGATGCGGGGTTAGACGTGTCCTTCTATTGTAAGTTGGTGTCTGACCGTTCTTGAGAATCGACACTCTGTTGTTTTGTGGGAGCCATGTTAAATGCTTTGGAGAGGGGTCAGATTACTGTCTCTCAGTGTCCACCGCCTTTCCTTCCAGACTTTCTCCAACCTGTGAAATGAATAGCAGGACCTAGACCATGAAGGCGGCTCAACTTTCTAGGGCCTGGTTGAGTTGTAGGAGACTTGGTCTGTGACTCATTTTCTGTCACTTTGCTTGTACCCCCAGATGCTGGCTCCTTCTCTTGGGGTTGAACTCAGTGTTCGAGAGCCCTGACCAGCAGGAGACTACATCAGCCAGTTAGGAAGATCATTGTTGTGTACAGGTTCTCAGAGAACCTGTCTCTGCTGAAGTTCAGGGTCAGGAAGTCATTTCCTCACATCTGGCAGTGTTGGGACAGATGTTTGGCTGTAGCAGTCGTGGGTGAAGAACACTGTTAGAGCAAAGCCATTACCAAGCATCCCTCCCTTGTGAGTAAGAAAGCTATACTGGCCCCCGTCAGCTTAGTGTCTGTAGTCCCGAGCTTTTCCTCAGATCCTGTGGGAAATTCAGTGGGGCTATCTCCACCTGCTTTTTGAATGTTAAGATCATTGAGGGGAGGGATGGTCCAGAAAGTGAGAAGTCTCCTGGCCATCCTCTGGGCTCTGCACAGTCTGAGCAGTCAGTAGTAGGTAACTCTAGATGGTGGCTTCCTTAGGAATTCAGAGGCCCCAATTTTGCCTCTTTGGAAAGTCACATTGAGGGGCAGGGACTGGGACTTGGCTAGAAGGCCGGAGAAGGGAGCATTGGTGACTGTCTGAAAATCCCTACATCCCATCATCGCTGTGCGTGCACAGACGGTTGGACTTGATGGCCCTGCCTCAGGCCCCGAGATGAGGGCAGGAAGCATCTTGTGCCTCCCACTCTGTCCTCTGGTGCTGGCAGGTTTCTGTGCTTACACAGGAGGCTCAGTGCTGTGACATTTGTTAGGGATGATGAAGTGTACAGCCGAGCTGGTCAGCTGGGGGCCCTGATGATGGGAAAGAGAGTAGTGGCAGCCTGTGATAGGAGGAGGTTGTGGCAGTTATGAGGAATGTGCAGAGGGTTTGTGTGAGACCAGCTCCAGGCTCACTGGGTAGCCACCATCAAAGAGGCTCCTGGCCAGGAGACTGCTCACCAGGGGCAGAGTCAGATAACTGAACCCAGGCAATTTCTTCCTTAATCGGTGTGTAGAGGCTAGCATGGATTCCAAGTAAGGACTCTGGAGTGGTGTGGCTGGTGAGGCCTGAGCTCTAGCCTTTTTTGTAAGTCTTAAACAAACAAACAAACAAACAAACAAACAAGCAAACAAACAAACCCCAAAGAAGTGTGTGTGTGTGTGTG